GTTGTCAAGAAGAATAAGAATTAGGTTCTGGCTGAATAAAGCAGAGTTTCGCAAGCTGTCCCGACATACTTTTCACAAGCACATTACCGATGACCATTACCGCTTACAAAAATGCTAATTGGACTGTTAAAACAGCGAACACCTACACACGCTTTGAACAAGGAATTTCTATATTTCCTTATTCGAAGTCACTAACTGTCAGAGTAGTACAGGTGTCCCTCTACAACAATGACCTAGTGACATGGTACACTTAATGCAATGCAACAAAGAGACGTTAACATTAGTAATACAACTGTGTTCCCCAAATATTGAGCAGCATTAGGTTAGCACATAAGTAATGCACCTTTCATATTACTTCAGTCTTTTCAAACACACCGCTTCATTTTCTTGCAATATATAGGGATAATGACGTAATCTGCAAATGCAGACATTTTTGCCGAATTTTGCCACCTTATGTAAGGGTAATGTTAGGTTTACGGTAAAACGAGAAGATTTTTGGATTGCCTCGGATTTTGTTGAAACATGGCATAGGGAGGGGGGGGGGGGGGGTAATCAACATGCTGAGATCAGAAAAATGAGATGCGTTTCGCATGAAAAGTCCTCTTTCATAAGGTCAAAGAATGAACCTTACCGAGAATGAATCTTAGTGACGAATGATAAGATATTCCGTTTACCGCATTTTACCCTATTGTGCAAAGTTTCATCAAATTCTGTGGTTTTGCAGCTTAGTTGTGGAGAGATTGCCCTCCAAATTATGTAGACGCATTTGACTTGTTTTACTTCTCAAAGGCGCCTTATCGTAATTTGTTTATGAATTTTCACTTCTTTCTTAGTGCTAATGTGTCAACTTCTATCTACATACTGCCTATAATTCCTTTTTGATATACTTGATGTTTTGTACTGCTTTATGTTTGCCAAAAAGGCGTAAACATCAATTTTCAGGATTTCGAAAATTGCTAATTGAATAACAAAAAAGTTATGGAAAAAGCTGCAAAACTTATGTGCTAACCTAATATATTCGTGATCATTCACAAAAATGCGAGAATTTCAAAACCTCAGCGAATTCAAAGAGTTGCTACTCTAGAGGCAGTGTCTTACCAAAGTTGAGGTCGCGCGGATCTTCACATATTCTGTTACTAGATGGCTTACCCGGCTCCGCCCGGCCCTGTCATTATTTTATTCGTAATCAGCATGCTCGATTACCCCCCTGTACCAGCTCCCAGCCCCGTAGCTTAAATTTTGCAAAAAATCGATATCGATATCGATCGATGACGAAAAGTAGCCTATGACACCCGCCGGGGCCCGAAGTGTATGTGTGCCAAGTTTAGTTCGGATCGGTCCAGAAATGGAATTTTCTATTCGGAACATACGTACGGACAGACATACAGACAGACAAACAGACATTCAGCTTTCTATATAAGATAGGGGCCTCTAAATAGGCCATTGCAACAAGTCTCACTCAACTTGACCCCCTCCACGCTGAAAAAAATTCGCTCAAATTGGTACGCGGAGAGCGACTTGGTACGCGCGGACAACTCCTTCAGTCTCCCCCTACGCGTTTGAACACGTCCCTCCACTTGGCATCCACTCTCAGACAATTGCATCGGGAAGTTCGCGGGTGCTTCCTTGGCCACCAATCATCCATGCCGCGATCTGCCCGGTACAAACCGATATTGGACCCGGTAAGTGACCGCGGTGCATCCTGTAAGCGCCCGATGGTTGACCCGATTAGCATGCTTGTGAGGCCAAGGAAAAGTGAAAGAATTTTGACCTGTCTACAACGACTGAGTACAAATTGAGCAACTTGTTAGCTCATCTGTCGATTTCATCTACTGTCGTCGATGACACTCAACCGATTGCTGAAGTTTGTTTCGTGAGCATATATGAGCGGCTCCACAACTTTGGCGAGGCAGAGCTGCGCTAGCGTGCCTTGCGTTGCGGTTGCCCTCTGCTGAGACATACCTGATCCATCGATCTTTGGTGAAAATCACGATCCCGCCTCGCCAAAGTTGGGGAGTCGGCAATAAACTCAACTGTCACACAACCCAACCCGAGAAGCGATTACCAGCCCCACAAACACTTAAGGTAGCACCATCGCTGCGACGTATCTCACGCGGGTTGCGCCTTAAGCTACAGCGTGTAAGAAGTGCGGCCTTTGATAAGGCCCGCGGCACGCCGAGTGAGGTGATTGGGCCGCGACTCTCTTGATAAGCTCTTTCCAATTTTAACTTTGGCCGCGGCGTTCTCGGTAAATTATACATGGGCCGCGGCGCGCCGTGTAGCACGCTTTGAGGCCGCGAACTTTCCGATGCAATTGTCTGAGCTTCCCCTCTGTTGCTGCCTCTGTGGCTGAGGCTGAAGTTGGAAGGTACAACTCGTCCACGTTGCTTCCGCGGGGCCTTCAAAAAAGGGGTTTTTGGGACCTTCGTGCTATTTTAAGACTAAAACAGTGCTAGACAGGGTCCGATAGACTTGCAAAATGCAAAAATTTTGGCAACAAATTTTGGTGAGACACTGCCTTTAAGTTGGCAGCCTACCTCCTAAACACCGCAAATATTTCCATAGTTGACTTTTAAGCTGATTATGTATTGAAGGCAAATCTTCTCACTATTTGCAGGAAGTTTCTCAAAACAGCGCGAAAAGATTCCGATGATGGAATTGTGAGAAGTTTTTCAGCGTTCATTTATCAAAACACTTTAGTCTCAAAAAATTGAAGCTAGTGATCTAATCCCAATTTCCCAATTTATTGTTTCTCCAATCGTTTAGAAAGAGTTTTTCTTCGTTGACGCGCTCAAAGCAAGCCCTTTTTACAAGATGAGACAACCATGCAGCATCTCTGGCAGCAGTGTAAGATGATGAAGAGTAAATAAAGCAGTAACGAGTGAAAATCTGAGTAATCAATCCGCGTGAGAAAAATAACACATTTTTACCATTTTTGACTTTCAAAACCTGAGTTGTTCCTACCAAGCATGTAAAACTTATACATTGATCATAAAAGTTTTGCTCGTTTTCCAAAATTTACACGCTTCAGCTTTTTTCAAACTTTATTCCCCGACGATCTCGATTTGATCAAACTTATTTTTAACTATCATTTACATCTCACTGAAGAAATTTAAGTGAGTAGCGAGAATTTAAGACTACCTTATCAGAACAGCTTATCACATGACGAAACTTCCGCCCAAGGATATGCAAACTGTTCAGTAATAAGTAAACTACGAATTTCCGTGCTTTATGCCGAAGCGAGCTAATATTTTTGTTACCTGAAAAGTTCTACCGACAAATCGGAAAAGGTGAAGATTTTTATTGAGGCAAAAACTCCATTCTAAGAGCCTGTGTTGCCTCAACGTCCCTGACAATAACGATCTCATTGATAATAGACAAATATCATAACTACAAATAACTTTTCTCGAAAATACAAATAATAATACAGAACAAAAAAATTGCGCTGAACAGGACGCAAAGAAGGATGAATAAACAAATCAAAAGAAGCATTTATGATAGACGTTTTTGTTTGAAATTGTAGCACGTTTTTTCTCTGCAGAAATGGACTCTAACACCAAGAGCCAGGTGCCCTATTGCACGAAATTAGTAAACTGTACAAATGTTTACAAATTTTAAAGGAATTATGTTACAAAATCTGAAGTGTGCCAGTACCAGCAGCAATGTGGATATGTTGGTAAGTTTTTTTTACAAGGTGAGCGTATTTTGTCCTTCGATAGAAGCTCTCTAAATCCTCAATTGTCTGATAATAACGATTCGCAGCAGTGCGATGGGGAGGGGGAAAGCAAAGAAACTGCAAAAGCGGTGTTGGAAATGAGCCTATTACGTAGGACAACTAGCTGAGGTTTGACAAAGAAAGAAAACTTTTTGGGTCAAGTAAACCTTAACTGAAGAAACCGACAGATTGGATCCAGGAATTCCGCTATTGTAAATGATCTAGAGCAATCAGAACAAATTAATTAGAAAAAACATAAAGATGACCATAGTACAGACTGCAGTAAACTAGGCCGGACGTTTTTTCTTCAATGTAACGTAATAAACCGTTCCATAGCAGGAAGTGCTAGAGCAAAATAAACTATTTGCTGTGTTTATGTTCAGACAGATGGCATGATGCATTCCAAGCCCATCAAGCTTTCCGTGTTTCTCAGCATATTTTGTTTTGCTGTAATACCCATTGATAACATAGTTAAGAGCCCTGATATTGGGGTGTTCCATAATTTTGTTACCGTTTTTACTGTAACCGTCGTTTCTTTGTATTTTTCCATTGATGTGGCTTGAGTAATCATTCGGGGCAAAGCAAGTAAGCTCTGCAAAGGCTGTGAGTAATCCGCCCAAATCGTATTTCACCAGAACTTTTGAGATGAAATCTGATGGCAGTCAAAAATGAAATTTTCTTCAAAAATCGTATCTCAGCCCAAATGTCTCAAAATTCCCCATTTATCCTAGCGTATTTTGACATATCGCGCATACAATTGACTATTTTCGTATTTCTTCCATGGTTAGGAATAAAGAAAAATTATGAATGGGGTAAAATGGCGAGCTCCGCCCCTAAACATCATGGGCTCCTCCCACGTACATCATCATTTAGCTCATACATACAGAAGTACGACCATGTACTTGTGAGCATGAGATCGCCCCAGTTCTCGAAAAATGCTGGTGTTTAGGGTAAAAACGAAAAAAATTGTGGGACACCCTAATAATTCAAATGATAAACCAGTCCATAAAATCAAATTTTGTGTTTTGCGAATGGTAAACTGTTGTACGATTTGGTACTTAAAACTAAAGCACAAATGTTTTTAATGGCAAATTACAATTTTCTCCTTTTAACGTAAATTGTCGAAAATTGAAGGCATTTTTCTAGGTGGGATTAGAAAAAAAACATTTTTCAAAAAATACTCTAAAATTTCCCATCAAAGTGATACAAGTCTCCGCAAAGAACAGAGCTTGATAAATCCTTAAGTTTTCCAAAGAATGATGGAATCCGTTTCTGGCATTCCTATGTTTCAGGCTGAGCTTTCTTCTCATGCTTTCTACACTGGGAGTGTTAGTAAGTTTTTTAGAGCTTTTCTTGGAATTTTTACGCTTAGAAAATTGCTGTTGATGCTAAAATATGGTAGTAAATGATTGATAGGATTAAAATATCATATTTTTGGTCTGTCCAAATTTTTCAATCTTTTCTGACTTTATTTATATCTAGCTGCTATTTTTTGTTATTCAAACATATATCTTTTAGTTTCTGCTACTGAAAATTTCCTCTCAAGCTGCGCTACCCACAGATCTACCAGGTCTTTTAATCGAATTTTCTTTTTTTTTTATTGCATTCAGTAATTGAAAAATTTCAGACGTTTGCGAAGAAAACGAAGTCTTTAAGGATTGCGCTCCGACTTGCGAGCCCACATGCAGATTTCCAGATGTGGTCAGTTATTGACTCACCTAAATTTCGTCACGATTTTCTAATAGTTTTCAGAAATGCGAAGAAAGCTGTGAAGACAATGTATGCCGATGTAAAGAGGGTTACATTAGAAGTGAGATAGGAGGACCATGCATACCTGCATCTGCTTGTCCTCCAAGTAGGGCAAATCTATCAATTTTTCTTCTTTTTTGAACCTTACAGCTAAAATTTTAGTGCCAAGCGATTTCTTCGATTTTACATCGTTGATGCCCACGTGTGACGGTGTCGTTTGTGACGATAATACACATTGCGAGATAGTTGATTTACCGTGTGTGGATAGCCATTGTCCTCAAGAAGCTGTATGCGTTGACGATGTTTGAGATTGCTGACTATCCTTTGACCACCTTCTGTATTGACTCTACATTTTTGAGTACTCAATAAATCTTGTAACGACAAGCAGAATGAAGAATCAATCCTCCTTTTCAAAAGTGTTCCATCAACCAGTCTTCTTTCTGTTCTTTTTTCGGTGGACATTCACACTTACTTGTAATCAACTGCAGTTTGGATAGTAAATCATGTGTCATGATAAATGTAGTTTCTTCAACTAGCCATAACACTGTGCAAAATATTCTTCAGAGACGCTAAAATTGATTTTTACTGTCATAGTCTCATTTCCTCATGAAGACATGCAAAATTTCAAAGCTGTCCAATTTTTCGGTTAAATTCCGAGTTTTTTGTCTCGAATTTGTTTTGTATGATACGCGTTTGAATGACACAGGCCATTTCTCTATAGTTGATTTTTGCCCAATTTTTCATTCAAAATAAGGTTGTCCGAAAAATAATGTTGCATTGCATCCTACCACGAATGGAGTGATCACGAAAGGGATCGAATAAGGTATCATTTGATAGGGCAAAGCAAGCTTTACAAGATGAACTAAAAACCACCGCGGAAACTTTGTTCCGACAGAAGTTCGAAACAAATATATATAAAGTTCCACATACCCAAAAAATCCTACCATAGATGTCTTAGGGATCTACAGTTTGCACAAACATGTACTTTTTACTACAGACATTCGCTTGTACAGTTTGTAGAATTTTCCCATGGGTAGAACACGAGAAATTAGAATAGGTCGAAAGTGTGAGTATGTCGCGTTTTTCGGGTTTTTTTGCGAAAAATTTGATTTTTCTTGGAAAGCAAACCTTGTAGAGAGCTGGCAAATGATTATACTCAATAAGATTCACACTACAGAATCAGATCTCTGGGAGAATCTCAGGATCGCTTCCGCAAAATCATGCCAAATTTCATTTGCTCGATTTCTAACCAAGGAAAAACCACGAAACTGTGCATACAAGTGTTTGATGTAGAGAGAGTGTACGTGTGCAAGTTGGAGGTAACTAGGATTTTTCTGGGCGGAGATACGAATTTTCAAGATTTTTTAGGTCTTTAATGCCTTTTGAAGTCTGGCTACAAATTTCATACAAATCCTTGGCGCAGATATCTAAGCTTCATTTTGTAGCGCTTGCCTTGGTCTATCGGCTGATATCCCATTTAGTTTGTTTCATGCTCATTCCGCCACGATGTCGCACGATAAAACACGGTGCGACATTATTTTCCGGACCGCCTAATACATAGAATGGTAATATGTATAAGAACGACTACTTCCGTCATCAGCCTAAGAGCCTCCACAAGAGATGTCCCGCCAGTCCTTCCATCTCAATGTTTCTGAAACCTTTCGCCGCGCTGGACCAAATATGGGTTCTGATTCCTTGATTCGCGAAAAGAGACTGCAAATAATACTCCGCACCCTTAAAACAGAGCACACAGCTTAGATTTAAAGTAAGACGACTTTCGCGTAAATACTGGCTGGGCTGTGCTGTGTCAACTAGCATCCGACCGCAGCGCTTGCGAGAATACTCGAGCGCGCGAAAAGAAGATGTGCTCAAACAGACCGCAATCGACTCTTTTTCAATTTCGTTCGTTTTGCCTACTTTTAGCGCATGCTGGCTTTCGTTGTCTCTGCCTGAACTTCATGTTCGTCTTAGACAATTCGCACAGTTAGGCAGAAGAGAGAGTACTCAGTTGCTACACTAAAACATGGGCGGCGTGGCGTTATACTACAAGGAAAACGCCGCCAAAGCTCACCGCCATAGTCGGCAAGCGCGCCGAGCTGGCTTACTGTATCCCGCACCCATTTTGCACTGGTGAGCCTGAGCCATGAGGCAATCGCGCAAATGCAGCCTCGTCAGCTCCGTCGCGGCGCGACGTCGCGCGCGATCTCGCGGTTACAAGAAGTTACATGGAAATACACAGAAAAAATTCCTCTTTCATATTCTAACGTGTGATATCGTCCGTCGCGCCGCATAAAGTGAAAATTTCAAAACTTGTTAAGTTCCTGTTTTTTATTGATTCATGTTCGTTTATATTTCCAAATAAAAACGAAATATTCGTTTGGAAACTCCCTAGTGTTTATTTAGTTTTCTTTTTTGTTTCATGTTTGTTTTTGCCATGGTATAGATACTTAATTGTCACTGCAAGCTGTGACCTGTGGCCTAGATTGCAAGTTGACGTTAGTACGGCGGTGATGACCTGCGGACTTAACTTATTAGGACAAAAGTAGGGTAGCTGATGCCAGCTTTCTTTCCTTAATTTTACTTGAAAATGAACGTGAATTAAATAGAAAACAGGAAATTAACAAGTCTTTTTTTGAAATTTTCACCTTATGCGGTGGACGGACGACATCGCACGTTGAAATCTGAAGGAAGAATTTTTTTCTAAGTATTTTCATGTAACTTTTTGTGAAAATCACGATCGCGGCGCGACGTCGCAACGCGACAATGCTGACGAGGCTGCGTCCGCACGATTGCCTCATGGCTCAGGTTCACCCGGTGCAAAATGGGTGCGGGATACAGCAAGCCAGCTCGGTGCACTTGCCGACTATGGCGGCGAGCTTTGGCGGCGAGGTCTTTGTAGTATAACGCACGTCCTCCAAAACATGTCAGGATGATCGCAAATCTCGAGATTCGTCAACTCGTTTTGTAGATTTGAACTCAAACAAAAATAAATTAAAATGGCGTCACCTACGAATACAATAATCAAATAACGTCAGTTTAACGACACCCATGACAAGATATAGGGACATTTAACGAAGAATGATTCGAAAAAAGATCAATGATTTGATAACGAAAATTTAATCATGTGCCAGCTTAAACGCCCAAGTAACAATTCCTTTCTTTGTCGCAGGAGCGCGGCTTTAAAGCCAGTGTCCCAGCAGATTCGCGCACTGAGGAAAGCTGTAATGGCGTTTCTGGTCACCCACCCCATTAGCCTCCAAGCCCAGTCCGGCTGGTTGATGTTTCCCCCACGCCGAGAAAATAGTCCTCGAACCGGCACGCGCAACTCCAATCGGCGCGCTTGGACGGCTTTGCTTATCTGTTTTGCGAGAGATCCCCCGACGGCGATTCCACGGGTCCCGCGCAGAACAAGTAAGCAAAGTCGTCCAAGCGAGCCGATTGGAGTCGCGCGTGCCGGTTCGAGCGCTATTTTCTCTGCGCGGAGAAAACATCAACCAGCCGGACTGCACCTGGAGGCTAACGGGGTGACCAGAAACTCCAAAGCAGCTTTTCCCAGGGCACGAATCTGCCGGGACACTGCCTTTACCGCGCTTTTTGAACTTTAATTTAAAAGAATAGACGTTTGCTTCGCAGATCAATTCAAAAAAGAAGGAAATTAGACTTGCTCCATTACACAGCACTGATGTGATCCTGCGAAATCATAAACACTGATACGAAATACATTTTAAAGTTTCGAGTGTTCTACATGTAGAGTAGCAGCTTTTATGTGCTATCACTCTGCTATGCTTTTATGGAAGTAGTAATATCTTTATCTTTATCTCATACATGTAAAACGTGTGCCAAAGCCTGTGTGAGTAAAGAAACATTGCTAGAGTAAGAGACTAGCCGTAAAGCCTGTCAGCAGAATAAACAAACAGCGAATAAGGGACCCAGGTGTTGAGGAAGAAAATTTATATTTGGTCAAGAGAGTCAGGTGATTGGCATTGGGTAACGCCACTGCCACTTTTCCGGGCTGTCCAAAACGTCTGCGATTGGTTCCTGCCAGGTATCCATCAACCTGACACCATCGACGCTTGGATTCACCTGCCGTATTCTGGGGAAGCCATGCATAAAACGCGGGTCTACGGTCCCAAGGCGCAATGCTGCTGCTCATCCGAAAGTGAGTGATAAGCCAGCAAAGCATGGTTAATAAACACGTTAAATCGAGAAACGCGAACATGATAAACCGAGAAAAAACATGAAGTCGTGAACCGACGTAGTCGGATAGAGCTTCACGAAAGCGGCTGTCGTAAAAGCGATGTGGTGAAAACAAAGCCCGAAACACATGAGTTTGCAGGCGAGGGTCAGCAAGAAAAGACCAGAAGCAAGCAAACCTGTAATGAAAACAGACTAGGAACGAGTCACAACGGATTGTTTAGTAATAGGCAAATGTCAACTTTCCTCAGTTTCCTTTTGAACGCTTCACAGTTGTTAGCATTCAGAACCATGTAAATATGTAAACTTTCTTGTATCATCAAAAAATAGTGTACTATCAATATTGCTTTCACCTATAACCAAAAGCTCTGAAGAAGCGCAGCGGGTTATATGGATACAATAGTAAGTAGTAGACCAGAATTCGTGTCGATTTCCTAGAATATTTGAATAATGCAGGGACGATAAAGCGTGACTCTACGTAATGCAACCTTACAAGGAATGCATATTTAGGTGGCTTTTCCAGAGATGTAGACCATATTAGAGTGCATAAAATGCTGATTCCAAATCTGCCTTCCTTATCTATACAGCATTTATGGACGAGAAATTATGAACATTTTTGCAGCATAAAGTTGAACGTTTAAGTAGGAGAAAAAAACAGCCGTTGTACTTTTTCTAGCTCTTCAAGGGAGCAGTGACAATCATCAGAGCCCTTTTTTCAAACGTACTTCAAAATGAAAAATATACCACATTTGGTTGCATTATTTGAGATCTAGTAAGATTTTAACAACTCATTTCATCCTAAATGCACATTCAGTTTTTGGCTCAAAGCCCATAACTCCTCGTCCATAAACGTTTCGCAGATAAAATAGGCAGATTTGGAATCAACGTTTTGTGCCCTTTAATATCGTACATATCTCATTTAGAAAGTGCACTTCGACTAATCAAGCTTCCCTCTTAGAGGAATCATTTCGCGGAGGTTCCCGAGCGATTGCGAAATTCTAAATACAAATCGCAGTAGCTTCAAGAAGATTGATCCTTTTTGGAAGCTGCAAACTTTGCTGAAAGGAATATCGTATTTAAAGCATACTTACTATATAGGGTTTTTAGCACTTCGTTTTGGGTCACCAACAGGCGCGGAAGGGATAGAGGTCTACTGAAAAGTCGGACTGTTAGTAGGAATTTCTTAGGCATGAAAACAGCATAAGATCTCACATATGGTTATGTATAAATCTGTTAGGTCTGTAGATTAAGTCACATTTCTAGGGCAGCGCCTGCATTAAGATTTTACTTCACAAATTTGAAATGTCCTTTTTGCACCCTAAAAATGCACTCTTTTAGTAAACAAGTTTGGAATCTTCTTCTTTTGGAATAAATGAATCAAATCTTTGATTGCTGCATATATGTTAGGGTAATGTCTTGCAGATCTTTGGAGCTCATCATCCAAGCATGGCGATTCTCACAAAATCGACGCCAACTGCGAAAACAGGTACAGTCACAGGAAAGTTTGAGAGCTTGTACTTTTGTGCGCGTATTGTAAAATCTGCGCGCAACTGTGTTTTTGATGTGGACAGTCTCTTCTCCATAATGACAAACCCTCAAATGGTTCTTCTTTGCAAAAAAATGGCAGCAGAAAGAACGTTGCACGATTTACTTTTACCGGGGAGAACAGCAGCTGCGATTGTTTGCTTATCAATCAAACCCTTGTTTTCATAGCAGGAGAGAATGTAAACAAGCAAATAAGTTTGATGGCCTTCGTTTACATCCCATATAGAAGAACATTTGAAAGAACCATTGCAGTCAACTGTTTGCGATTGAGATATCACGGCAAAAGTTCACTTTCTTGCTCTGGTTTGCGTCAGCATCGATCGCAGACAACGATATATACCGTGGACGCCAAAAAATGCTTGTGTACGTACGGGTTCCAAACTAACCAATTACTCACATTTCATGACTGGCCTACACTGTCTTTGAAGGATGCTGTACAAAGTGAGTTCAAATTTATTTTTTTAAGTAGACAAACTAGATATTTGATAAATTTATTCTTGAGGACATGAAGTCATGTTGAGATTTTTAGGCACGAAAGTCATTATTGCACTTCCACCTCTGCATAATCATTGAAGTATCAAGTTGGTGCAAAATAGTTTTTGTTCTGCAAAGTTTTACTTTAAAACGCTATAAGAACAAAGCAAAGGAAGTTGATATATTAGAGTGCTGCCGAAGCTAAAAAGTTTAGATACAAAGTTTAGATACAAACTCAGTTTAAAAACTTAGTTCTAGTCTTTAGTCTCTAGTCTTTATAGTTGTAAATGTATTCAAAACAAGTAAAATGGTAAATTTTTCGTATCTTAGCGCGTGCCTGCTTATACTGATATCGCAAACAGAAAAGACAAGCGTTAACACCGAAAACCTCATTTTTGCGATATCAGCAATCCTTCAAGCTTGTTCCTTGGCTGGTAATCATCTTATTCTGTAGAAGCAAGCCAGTAGTATACGCGTGTATAGAAAAGACTACAGCGAAGAAAATTTGCTTTCAAAAGATAAAAATCCAAGATTTTTTGGGACTAATTGAAGTACGCCTGAAAGACCTACATTAGGTTGGCCCGAAATTTCTATCGCACCACTTTCAAAAGTTCATAATTTCTGGTTTTTCAAATCGATTTAATTTTTTTTCATTTTATATGAAAGAGCAATTCATTCTCTTTATAGAGGTACCTTACCGCTTTCTGTTAAGCATACAGTGCATAGATAGAAGCGGTAGAAGAAAATTACTCAAATTTTGAATTTCCCGTGTAGGGTCATAAAAAATCTGCAACTTGCAGTGAAAATCGGAGCTATCAGTATTGTAGGTTCTATTACCTTCTCTTTCTAACTGTGCAAAGTTTCTGCTGATTGGATGCCTCTATCAAATGTTATGATTTTCAAGAAAATGCCAAAATAAATCAAATTTGCCCTTTTGTATTGCTTGCTCGAAAATCATAACTTTTTATAGAGACTTGATCAGCATAAACCTTGCACAATTAGAAAGGGCAGGTAATAGAACCTATAATAATGACAGCTACGATTTCTACTGCAAGTTTTAGATTTTTATGATTCTACACAGAAAACTCAAAATTTGAGTAATTTTCTTCTACCGCCTCTATCTATGCAATATGTGCATATTATGAAGCCGCTAAGGCATCGCTGTGAAAAGAACGATTTGCTCTCTCAATTTAAAGTGAAAGCATGCAAATTGGTTTGAAAACTCAGGAGTTATGAATTTTTGAAAATAGGGCGACAGAACTTTCGGGCCAGCCTAGTAATTTGGGGTGTTAATTTCTGAGTCCAAATATTTTCGAAAAATTTTCTTGAATATGCATTAGGTGAAAAATATCTATCACCTACAGTAGCTATGTTCTCAAAAGAGTTTGTTTTATCTGCGCCTGAATTGTGGCCAAGAGAGTGAAAGCGATAAATTTACAATTTTGAGTGCAGATGTGCAACATGCTAGTAAAATTTTCACGGATGAGGACGGAAGCTTAATTGCGCCATTGTTAGAAAATACATCAAGAAAGCTTTCCAATGATATGCGAAATCTTTATTGGAAAAGAAAGTCTGGTTTGAAAATTGTTCGAAAGTTAGCCTGGAATAACGGAAATCATTTTTGCACCACTCAATAAAAGGTCTCTTTCTGTCTCAGATTTTGAATACACTATCATTAACGTGTTAAAGATATACAGGTTGTATAGGAAATAGTTGCTCGCATCGTATTTGGGAGGCCATTATGCGCGAGGTTTTATAAATGTTCGTTCTCGTTTATTGTTCGCCAGTACACATGAAAATTTTGGTAAACACATGTGTTCGAAATGTCGAAATATTGTTTGTAGAAAAGTATGGCTCAACTTCTCCTGATAACTTGTACTGGGAAGAAAGAAGGCAAGTTTGAATGAACAGACGGCGCTATAGACAGGCTCTGCAGCTACGAAGCGGTCTTGCAACGGCTGACCTTGAAAGGTCGCGCAAATAAGTCGTTAAAGGCAGTGCCCGGCAAAAATTCGATTTTGAGATTTCGTGCTTACTCGAGCCTATTCATTACCCTGGATCCGAAAATGCACAATGGACGAAAACGGCGAAAAATACCCCTAGCACAGGAGGGAAAACAGCAGGTGGGCGAGGTTCTTCCCACTGTTAATTCACGCTCCCAGCTTCTGAAGCGAACTTCGCGCTTCCGGCTTCAAGTTAATCATTCGCAGCCGGTAGCGAAGTTAGGAAGGCTAGTGAAATCTAGAAGACCGCTCCGGAAGCTGTGAGCGTAAGTTCACAGTGGGGAGGCCGCCGACTTGCTGTCTCCCTGCGCTGGAGGGCCTTTTTTGCCGTTTTCATGCTTTCCACTGTGATTTTCGAATTCAACATGGCGAATACCCACGTACAAGCAGAAAATCTCAAAATCGAATTTTTGCCCGGACGCTGCCTTCGAGACCATAGCGTGTTCGAGCTTGACGTTAAAAAAAGCAGTGCGCAAACTGACGCAAACTGCATTCAGTGAACCGTGATAAAACAGCGTTATTCAAAATACCGCAAATGGGTTCGACTCCGAAAGTTTAGAGTTTCGAGTGCTCAAGGAATAATTTGTAAATCTACTAAGCCCAGTAAAGTTCTGGGACCAACGATTATTGCATGATCATTGACGTAGATTATTTTCAGAGTTGTCTTTATCCAATTATCCTTCTTCTAGGAATGGAGCTGGTGTTGACGCAAGGTAACTTCTAGTTCAGCTACTTTGTTGATATATTACTTCAACCTGATTATCAGCTTTTCATTAGGTTCCTCACATATCAGCTATTAGTTGTTTGTACACTGGCGGAAGCATTTGAAGTGATCTATAAACTCTTAGAGGAAACTGTGATTGTGCAATTTTGAGTTATTGTAATTTCGTAGCGACAGCGAAGGAAATCGAAGCACAAAACCAAAATAATCTTGAAAGAAGTAACATCGCACTGTAGAAGGTATAATTTGTCAAAGGTTTTGTTTTCTATCACATTGTCTCTCATCCGTTCTCCCCTCGTCCGGAACTAAACCTTACTCAACCTTTATTGGCCCTCTACTTTACTTTATTGATTATCACATATTGGCCCGTAGTAAAGCTCGATCGGCTCAGGTGAACTGAACTTATCCCAGTGTTCACCTCACGTCAGGTGAACTGATGACCGCCCACCCTCCCATGCTATAAGAATGGCGAGTGAACTGTTGATCATCTGTCCACCTGCTGCAGTCAACTCTTCCACATCAGTTCACGTTCAAGTGACCTGAACGTGAACTGATGTTAGAGTGATGCAAATAGTGTGTAAAAGAGGAGACGCAGACAAGACTCCCGTAAGTTGCTCCTGAGTAACTTACGATACACTTCAGTCAGGCTAAAAATGCAGACAAAATCGGCGCAAAACCACAACCCGCGCCCGAAAAGGAGAGGATCGATGAACAGCTGATTTTGGCGAGGATAACAAAAAAACAAATTCTTCTCTTTTCTGTAAATTTTACTGGTTTTTTATCACGCTGCAATCATTTTGTTTTTTCATAAAATTTCCGTCACAAATTGTGTTTTTGTTTTATCCGTGCATTTGCTAGGCGAAATCCTTGATAGCGGTCATCATCGGTCAGACTCGAACCACGGCCGCGCGCGTGTAATTCCAGTCGCTTACCCGTTTGACCAAACCAACTCAAGTGGTTCATTCTTCAAGAACGCACTTGATTGTAATGCCTCGGAAGCGATCCGCATCCAGATCAATGGCTCGCCGGATGCTAGACTGAGGCGTGATGAGATCAACGCCAGTCCGCGTCGAGAGAGATGCCCTGATGGGGGGTTTACTACGGGCCATTATCCTCAAAGGCAGTGTCCCGGCAAAATTTCGCTTTCCTGTATTTCATTTCAAAACCTTCTCTTATACTGAAACCATATCTGAGTTTTTCAGTGCTTAAGTTGTCAAAAATGAGTATTTTTCGCAGCTCCTTGTGTCGGCGTTCGTTCCAAATCATGAGTGGGCGGGTCCGGAAGACTTCAGGAGCGAATTTTGGGCTCCAAAAGCTTTTTTTTCGCTTTAGACTTCACTGGTAGATTGATTGGAGGGTCTACCATTGCAAAATTTTGAAATCACGGTTTCCATCATCATGCCAGGACGCTGCTTTTGAAAGAAGCGATCTGCAATTTACTTTGTCCGTGGAAGGGCGTAGAAAGCTTCATGTGGTGCTTTACGAGAAATACGGGAGGAACGAGTTTGATTTTTTGGGCTTCAACAGCGTTTGGGAGAGGAAGCAAGTTATGATGAAACTAGTTGACTTACCCGGCTCCGCCCGGCCCTGTCATTATTATATTCGTAGTCAGCATGCTCGATTACCCCCTGTGCCAACTCCCAGCCCCGCAGCTCAAATTTTGCAAAAAATCGATAAAATCGATATCATCGATGACGAAAAGTAGCCTATGACACCCGCCGGGGCCCGAAGTGTATGTGTGCCAAGTTTGGTCCGGATCGGTTCAGAAATGGAATTTTCTATTCAGAACATACGTACACACAGACATACATACATACATACAGACAAACAGACATTCAGCTTTGTATATAAGATACTAGCTGGCTTACCCGGCTCCGCCGTATCCGGACCAAACTTGGCACACATACACTTCGGGCCCCGGCGGGTGTCACAGTCCACTTTTCGTTATCGATCGATGTCGATTTTACCGATTTTTATCGATTTTTTGCAGAGTTCACCTACAGGGCTAGGAGTTGGCACAGGGGGGGAAGTGAGCATGGGGATTCCGAATACAATATTAGTTTTCAGAATTATCGATTACTTTTATTGATTTTATCGATTTTTTGTAAATTTTGACATGCGAGGCTGGGATTTTGCACAGGGGGGTAATCGAGCATGCTGATTACGAACACAATATTAGTTTTCAGGATCGTCCATTACTTTTATCGATTTTATCGATTTTTTTGTAAAGTTCGACCTGCGGGGCTGGGAGTTTGCACAGGGGGGTAATCGAGCATGCAGATTACGAACACAATATTAGTTTTCAAGATCGTCCATTACTTTTATCGATTTTATCGATTTTTTGAAAATTTGAGCTAGGGAACTGGAATTTGGCACAGGGGTGTAATCTAGCATGCTGATCACCCCCCTTGGGGATGATCAGCATGCTCGATTACCCCCCTGTGCCAACTCTCAGCCCCCTAGCTCAAACTTTGCAAAAAAATCGATAAAATCGATAAAAGTAATCGATAATCCTGAAAACCAATATTGTATTCGGAATCCCCATGCTCGATTACCCCCCTGTGCGAACTCCCAGCCCCGTAGCTCAAACTTTGCAAAAAATCGATAAAATCGATAAAAGTAATCGATAATCCTGAAAACCAATATTGTATTCGGAATCCCCATGCTCGATTACCCCCCTGTGCGAACTCCCAGCCCCGTAGCTCAAACTTTGCAAAAAATCGATAAAATCGATAAAAGTAATCGATAATCCTGAAAACCAATATTGTATTCGGAATCCCCATGCTCGATTACCCCCCTGTGCCAACTCCCAGCCCCGTAGGTGAACTCAGCAAAAAAATCGATAAAAATCGATAAAATCGATATCGATCGATGACGAAAAGTAGCCTATGACACCCGCCCGGCCCCGAAGGGTATGTGTGCCAAGTTTGGTCCGGATCGGTTAAGAAATAAAATTTTCTATTCGGAACATACGTACATACATACAGACATACAGACATACATACAGACAAACAGACATTCAGCTTTATATATAAGATAATATAGTTATCATCTAAGAATAATTCGAAAGTTCTCGTTATTTTTTATCGTCTCTTTTCTTGTTTCGGATGAACTTACGTACAGCGAGGTCCAGCGAGCAATGTAAGAATTAACGATTTTGAGGAGTGTTTGGATAACATTTACGAATAACCGTTTCGGTATGATGAATTATTTTTCGGCAAGATGTCAGCGCAAACAGCAACCCAATCGAAAAACAGCACGTCACGGCATACTAAATAATTTGTTCCCTACCTGATCTCTCTCACTTGCTTTGTCATAAATTTTTTGAAGATACTTGTGCAACAATGCGATGCCCTCCTGCTACACCTATTTGTGAGGAAAATCGAAGTTGCGCCAATCCACCTTGTCCTCCTCGCTGCGTAAGAGGTAAGTAAAAGTGACGTAGTTACTTCACCCTTAAAATGTAATGTTCTAGCACCTTCTTGCGACGACGTTCGATGCAAGGAAGGCTTCACTTGTAAAATGATTGTGCCTCCATGTCTTCCTGGTCTACAGTGTCCTAATTATGCAGAATGTGTACCAAATGTGAGTCTTAACTTCAAGCTAGGTAATCGATCGGTGTAAAAAATTATGCGTTTCAGAGCTAAAAGACAAGGAAACAACGATCTGAACAATCCACTTCAAAAAGGCTTAAACTCATCATAAATAAAGACTCAATCGCATCTTTATACTATAGTCTTCTATAACTCAAGAACGCATTTCAGCGAACGTAGTATGACAGGACTGCCTAAGTTGTAGCCAAATACAGGAGTACACAAGGCTCACCCAGAAAAGCGTGAACTGCGTTTTGTGTTTGGGGTGGTGTGAGCAGTGGGTAGCATAGTAAGCGATAGTGATCATATGGCAGTTTTCAAACCTTGACTTATGATATCATCAGGAAATGTTTGTGATATAGTCAAAATATTTTTTGACAAACATTCTTCTTATTTTGAAACAACTGAGTTGAGCTTTATTTTCATTGTAATAAGTGTAGTCGAGTATATTTTTCGCTCAACACAATGTGCTTGAGGTGCCGAGAAAAAGCCATGCATTTGCGCCTGACGAATATCCAAGCCAGTAATGTTGGCATTTTCTCGCGCATTTTACCTGTTCACGGCAGATTTTACCGCATTTTCTCGGAAATGGAAGACATATTGATTGGAAAATCCACTTCACTGTAGAAGTTTTTGGAAAAATTAACAAACAATTTCGATCAATAACAAAAAGCGCCTTAGAAAACCCGCTTAACCGCAAAGTGTACGTTTGTAAAGTTCGATCTGGATCAGTCCAAAAATAGACTTCCTTTCCTTCTTACCGGAATATGATACAGACAGACAGGTACAAACACAGCAGACAGGCATATATACAGGGTGGGGCAAAAGTATGGGAGCCTACTTTGCAGTGCTGTAAATCAAGAAACTACTAATGATTTTGACACCAAATTTGTGCCACATATTGCTGCGATCATCCTCTACAAATTACACTTTGTATGGCTGAAAATGCTTGCCATATGATTTTGTAGGAGTTGGATTTATCAAACAAGTGCTCTGCAAAACGAGAAAATCGAAATTTTTGATCTTCACAACTTATTTCGTAACTAAAGATACAGTGGATATTCTAAACCATTTCGATGCACATAATACAGAGGAGACTTCGCGCTATCAATTCTTAACCGTTGCGTTTGTCAGATAGTATTCTTTTGAAAACGCAAAATAAAAATTTGTGTATACTACCTGCGTGCCAGCGGCCATTTTTCCTCAAAATAAATTAAGCTATAGGAGCACAGCAGGCACTGAATTCTCTATATTCTTTCCATGAGTCTTCTATGCAAGCATGTACTTGAGTTCGATCGATCAAGCAATTTCAGTATTTTTCAGATTACGATTCTTCGCTCCCGTTCGCGCAATCGCAACCAGATTTCCAGTATACGAGTACGCTTGCCTTCAATTAAAATTCTAAAATTTTTTTCCTAAACCTGCGAAAAAAATTTCTTTGCAGTGCGTTGTAGCCAAAAGCTTGCTCTCTCACACCGCATATTTGCCTGGTGAAATAAACAGTTGTCGTAAAGGCGTGGGACGAATTTCATCACGACTGTCTGCGTGCCACGACAGGCGCACTCGCCAAGATTTCAAAGGGCTGCTTTGAAGCCAGAAGAGGCAATCTCAAAATTTGAAAGCAGCGCTGTATTAGTAAAGGTTTGATTTATGTGTGCACCGAATTTTCTGTCCCTAGGCACTTTCCTTCTAATTTTATCTGAAAAAGTACTAGGCTCCCAGACTTTTGCTTCACCCTGTACATACACAAGAAAGATATTGAGCTTCGAGTGTAAGATTATCAAGCTTTCAGCTCAGAAGATCAATTTGCAGAGCTTTAAATTTTCATGTTTAGAAAAACCAGTTGCTCGTGGACAATTTGTTCGCGAAATTTTCATGGCACTCATCAAACTACAATATCGCAAAGATAAAGAGAAGAATCCACCAACAAAAGTCAAATATTCATTCTAACACGTTCAAAACAAAATATATAATTTGTATATAAGCTATATTTATATTTTTCGGTTTCTTAGCCATTGGATGAACCTGCCCATAAACTCTTTACTAAGTCCTTTGTTATAACAGTCTTTCCTTAGGAGGCGTATGCATTTTTTGCCTATTTTGAACGAGAAAACAACAGTGTGGCCTGCATGTCCCACAAAACAGTATTTTCTCGGTTCGTTCTGGAATGGATGTGATTATGTAAATGTGTATCAGATTAATCTATTTTTTGCCTTCATAGATCGTAAAACTTAGTGAGAGCGTTGTTATGCTTGATAAAAAGGAAGTTAGCGCTTTCTGTATGTCTCGCGCAAATTCCGAAGCTGGTAATCTTTAAAAAATTCCCAACAGTAAGACACGTTGAAGACAACGCCGCTCAATAGTGCGCGGCAGGTAGTCTGTACCTGTGGACGCCGCCGAGCAAGGTGCGCGGCACCTCAAATTCCAATTTTATCTAATAGTTCTAATTTATGTTCATATAATCACTTAAAGGCACCGTCCACCCAAAGCGAGGTTGATGAGATTTCGGTGGCACACTAGTGTGGGCCCTCACACTAGGCAAACCCCCAAGTAGCGCCGCAAAATACTCCTTCCGAAGCGAGAAATCCGCTCCGGAAGGGACGTAATCGGAGGTGGTCACTCCGCCCACTCCGCAGGCGCAGCTTTGGAGATACTACACGCACAGCGTAGTACGCTGCCTCGTCGTAGGCGACTAACCGGAGTTTTTCTAGTATTATTTCGTGTATTAGTATTCTTAACCGTTCGTTTTTTATTCAGTCATGACCAATTTTACGACAAAGTTGTTTTTCCGATTATAGCTATCATCAGCATCCGGCATAGCTGTTTTCTTGATGTGAACATGATCTTTCTTTATAGGTGACGCTTGTGCTCAATGAAACAAGATGAACATGCGAAGAGAACGTGAGTTTTTTTTTCATTGCAATGTACATCAAATTCAAAAACTATTTGTTGTCAAAATGATCGTTGTCGCCGTTACTACATGACTAATGGATCATTGTAATAAACTGTCACGCATTTCTGTGCAGCTGACTTGCTATTGCTGTAGGTTGATCTTGACGTGTTATTAAATTATTGATAGAATTGTTTTGCGGACAAGTGAATCCTCATCAGCTTGGCCCACCCGACAAAAAGTGCACGCATACAATGATGACTTTCATCGTATAACCTATTGACTGTGTGTTTGTTACCGTGATGTGTACGTTGTGCAAAGAATCTTTGACTTCATTTATAATTGTTTATTCAGAGGAATGGCTAGAATAAAGAACATCAGTTTGATTCTGAAGTATACTGTTGAACGATAGTTGTACTGAGCTATATGAGAGGCTTAGCAGTAGTACTACCGAAAACAGCTTCAAGAAAGACATTATTGACTTAGTTCCTGATGCGATCCCATATCTTTTACACCTACATTTCCTAATACTCCTAATCGATTGCACAATTGCCCGTGACTAGTTTGCAAATGACGCCCTGCGTATATCAGTGCACCTGCAAAGTGGGCGGAGTGACCACCTCCGGTTACGTCCCTTCCGGAGCGGATTTCTCGCTTCGGAGGGAGTATTTTGCGGCGCTACTTGGGGGTTTGCCTAGTGTGGGGGCCCACACTAGTATGCCACCAAAATCTCATCAACCCTCACTTTGGGTGGACGGTGCCTTTAAGGGGACAAGTGGCGTAGTGGTATGAGGCGCTGCTACGACCAGATCGGACACAGGTTCGATCCCTGCCCCTGGGCCAACCAAGCCCTCCAAACTCCGGGGCCGGTAAAATGGTACCAGAGTCCAAGAGGATAAAAGCACGGACCTGGTAAACGGCTGGCCCCGTAAGTTAGTGTAATAGGCTCGCACGCATACAATTGCCTCTTCGACTATGAAGTAGTGTGCGTTCGGCGCATGCCCGCAGAGGTACTGAAGACGCCGAATCCTTTATCCTTTATAATCACTTTAGGCCAAGGGGTATATTATATTAGCCCGGCCGTATTTTGGCAATCTCCAGCTATTCTGTCGCCTTCTACGAAAACTTCTTTCGTCCTTTAATCGCATAGAAGTGGCCAAAGATGACTGCAAATCTCAAGCGACTTTAACCTCGGCCACACCCCCTATTAGATATGCTCCGCCCTCTCGGTGCAAGCTCCCCCCACTTTTCAAGAATGACGGAATTCGCACGAATTTTTGAAATTTGAGCAAAATCCAGCATTTTCGTCGAGTGGGTGGGGCTTGCCATGAGAGGCGGATCCACCCCGACCACTTGTGATTTTGTTCTTCACGCTTAGACGCATGCTTAGTACATGCAGCCAGGCGTGAAAATGCAGGGAAACGGCTCGTCCACAGGAACAGAGGAACAGACAGCAAAACAATGGCTCGTCGTCAACGTGTTAATCGCTAAAAAGCTGCTTACGTCGCAGTTGTAAGAGTAGCCGAATGTTAGCAAGCTTACCCTTCAATGAAGAAACTGCAAAAAGTAACATTATCATGCTTCAATGATCACTCACTAATCATTACCCCGTCGTTCGATACTTTATGCAAAGTTCGAAAATCAATCTATTTCGGGTCATTGAGAAACACTAAAGTTACATCGCCATTCCTGCATGTCAATTACTATTACTTACTTTTGCTTTTGCAGCTACCAGAAGGAAAGACTTCATATTTTCGGGCACTTCCATTTGTATTATCAGCACTTGTTGCGTCCCGTCCTGCGAAAAGGTACTATATAAAATTAACACGTCTACTAAATATCTCTCTTTTATAATCAGCACCATATTCTGAGCTTTTGTTCTTTTCCAACTTTTGACTCTAAGGGTTTTTGCGAGAAAAGTCTGCATAAGAAATCGTGATGAGCTTAGCTATAAAATGAAAAAATTGTAATGAGCTTGATAAGAGTTATTATGTAAGTGTCATGACTTACACTGTTTAGCCTAGAGATACTCTAACTGCTTGCACTAGTCTAGTTATTCACACATAGATAGAAACAGAAAATAGACGGATTCTGTAGCTCAAAGGCAGCGGCTTGGCAGATTCTCGCCTCGAAGTTTTTTTGCTTACCTGGGGTAATTCGAAGCGTTGATTCCGAAGATCCACGTTGAAGAGCGCAAAAATGGCAAAAACCACCATTTTCCAAGGTTCATTTTGAATTTGGATGAGTGGAGCATGTTCCGCTATGGTTAGAGACGCGGAGTCGTTGCGGGACCCTCGCAGTTATAACATTGCGGCATGCCTTCTCTGACGGGTTAGGGAGAACCGCAAGCTCGTCCGCGCGTATTAGAATGGCTTGCGCGTAACGGGGTTTTCTAGGCAAGGGCAGCATGTTGTGCGCTCGGACCTGCTCTGTTCTCATGTTTGGGGTGCGAGCAATCTTCCATGTCGAAATGTCGGGATGTTCGGTTTTGGCGAGCTGCTGCCTTTAACGTCGCCAACAGCATTACGTGCTGATTTCCACGAGCTCGAAGATAAATAAATCTTGTTGGAACCCAAGTGACGGTTCAATAATGTACATTCTATAAGAGTAAAAAAATTGTCTTAAAACCAAATAGGAGCTGTGAGCAAAGATGATCTGCAGTTGTTGAAACAGTAAAGAATAAGTGAATCTGAACAGTCTTGCATCTTTGTTGAAAATGAAGTGGAAAGAAATCGGTTAAGTGCACAAAATTTACAAGAAACGCTGAAAATTACACTTCGACACCAAAGAGGATGGTTGATTCTATAGAAGATGTTCTAGCGAAGCAGATTAAACTTTTACTAACCGAAATTTAGCAGTAGCAACTTAGTTATACAACTTTTCATCATAGTTTGGTTATTGATTACTTTTCTGTTACTCAAGTAGACATATCAACTTACAATCTCTTTTCCCGTGTCCTCCTTTATTTTCTTTAGTATGTTACCGGGAACACCCGGAATGGATGGAGCTTTGTGATCCCATGTAAAGCCTTCGAACCAGCATTTGTGCTGAGCAAGGACGAAACTAGGCAGAAGCAGAAAAAGGAACATTGAAGAAAGAGTTTGAGTGGTTTTGTCAAGCGCATAAGAATGAATAGAAAAGATGACAAAAAAAAGTGGCTATTATCAAACAAATGTAAATTGCATTTGTGATGTCATAGCTTTTAACAATATTGATATGCACTAGACGCTAGCTCCAAATGCCATACGTATATGCAAATTAAGCAACAAATATTCTGCCAGTCTCTTATTCTTCTTTGATTTATCACATATCTCTCCAAATTCAATAGCAGTGCAACAATCAAACTCCAAACATCGCAATTTCTGAAGTTGTAACGAAAATATCTATCTGTTGAGCTACCGTTTTACAAACGTTGGATGAGATTGGAATGCTTTGATAGAACGCTTTTTTTCTTTCCCTGAATGCTAGGTAAACATTGAATTTCAACTGGTTTTTCGTAACTTTTCGCCCTTTCTAAAAGTGAAGCACTTACTAGAGCGTTACGTAGTTGTTTTACTGCTTGATAAATTTACTACGAATAGCAGGACAATTTCTAGAAAGGTGACGAATTTTCACCACTTGTTGGACATTGGTAGGGCTCTCTCCTAAGCGAACGTTTGTTAACGTTTTTCACGAAACGCTCAAGAACAGCTTCCTATTGAAGGAAGCCTGCATGTACCAAGACTGATTTGGTTTCGACAGAGTGCAGATCAAGGAGGTCGGCAAGTATGTTCTGTAAATAGTGCAAATTTTATTTGTGAATTTTATGAAATTTCTACAACGCTTAACGGCGTCCTTCTAGTACCATGTAGTCTTTGGAACTTATTATCATTGAAGATTTATATCAGGGCTTGGATGAAAACTGACTTCATCTATCAGCATTACCAGTGTGCGTCTTCCTTATTGTAGGCAGCGTCCAAACAAATCTGAACACTTCCGATCACCAGTAGAAACCGATTTTGGGGTCCTAATTAAGACACTGCCCAATCGGCAGCGCAGATGGTCTACTTGTATATAGCTGAGATATTCATCTCAATCCAGACCCCGTTACCGCAATGGCGGACGATTTGCATAGACTTGCACGCTATTGCGTGGGGATCCTCCTTCCCCCTAACGCATCAGGGGATCCTCCTTCCCCCTTCCGCATTGTAATCAGCATGCTCGATTCCTCCCTGTGCCAACTCCCAGCCCTGTAGCTCAAATTTTGCAAAAAATCGATAAAATCGATATCGATTGATGATGAAAAGTAACCTATGACACCCGCCGGCCCGAAGTGTATGTGTGCCAAGTTTGGTCCGGATCGGTTCAGAAATGGAATTTTCTATTCGGAACATACGTACAGACAAACATACAGACAGACATACAGACATACAAACAGACATTCAGCTTTGTATATAAGATTGAGCGCAGCTCCCCTCCCCCCCCCCCCAACTTGTGAATCCGCAGCTTTTTTCAAAGTTTGGCGATCAAAAAGACTTTCTTTATAACTCTTATAATACAATCTTATTTTTAGCGAGAATTTCTAGGTTACGTCGAGTTATTTGCAATTTAACACGTTGTTACACATCAAACACGCTACTTGACGACTTGTCAGATTGGAATGTGCTCTCCAGTAAGTTTTCTTGTTTTTTTGCCTTTGGTTTGTTTGGATATGTATGAGCTAGTATCTAAATGCGGTTCACAATTATATGAATAACCCATATTTTGAAATTTTCGGAATTTTTTGAAGAAATTCGAGAGAACGTTGGTAAACTGCGTGAAAGAGCATAGCGAAAACGGCACGAGAGTGAAAAATGTGAATAGAAATGTTTTTTGCGTCGAATGTGAATTTTTTGCTAGTCATAATTATACGACCGCCTACGAGGCTCCAAAACTGACTCTATCGAGTCTAAATTCTTTGTAAAGCTACAGTAACAAAGTCTGAAATATCTGCTACACACTGAACACAGTGCATTTCGAAAAAGGAGCGTCCTTTCTAAATTGCTTAAATGTTTGTAAGGTTAGTGCGCTCCAAAAACGTTTGTTTTTCTGTAATTCAACTCTATTTAGTTTTATCAAGGTTAAGAGACAAATACTTTTTCAAGAGATGTTTTGCTTGACGCTTGGAAAATTTCTGGCGCTTGAAAAATTCTGTATTCGCATATTTCAACAAACAACCTCACCTTTCAGTCACCACAGTTTCGTGCCCCAAAAAACCTCTATAGAAAAACCAAGTGAAGGTATGATTGCAATAGCAAGAACAGTGATTTTGTTGGAATTCGCGTGGGTGGCCAACGCTCAATGTTCCTGATTTTATTTAGCCGAATGTCCAGTCTTATGAACTTCTACATGCAATGTGCTTACTTCATCGAACAACTTCAGAAGCTGGGTTTTGAGGCATCGAGTCGTGTAAAATTTAGGGTGAGTTTGGAATTTGGTCAAAAAACGCGACGAGAATGCAGGAATTTTCAGAGCGTGAATATTAATCGAAAGGCTTAATTTATCTCATAACTTTCGTAGAAGCTAAGAGTGCTTTAGCCATTGGAGCGCACTGACTCCGGAAACATTTTAAGTCATTCGAAAAGAGTAACGCTTTTTTCCGCTAGGTTCAGTGTGTGGAGATATCTCCAATTTTGTTACTGTAGCTCTACAAAGAACTGGACGGTGCAGTCTGTGGTGAAAAAAGAGCTCGTCTGGTGTTTGTATAATTATGAACCGCTAAATTTCGCATTCGGCGCAAAAACATTCCTAAGTGTAACACCTATTTTCATCCCTGTATCATACCGTTTTCGGCTACGCTCTTTCGCGCTATAGTCACAATTTCCTTTCAAAAGTCTCATATTAGAAATCTCTTGAATATGGGGTGTTAGTATAATTATGAACGGCACTTTGTTACTACAATATATTAGGTCGTTCCGAAAGTAATGTCGCTTTTTTCAAACGTATGCCACATCTCGTGGGACAAAGATGTGTAAGATATTCTGGTAGCATTTGATGCAGCATTTCATTCTCTTTCTAATGGCTATGAAATTGTTGCAATACAGTCAATGAGCTTCCAGAAAAGAGTCAAAATCTGCGACCTATGCTTTTTAAGATGGCCAAGTTTCACAATTTTTCTAAAATTTTATAACAAACCTCAGAAGGAGCTCAAGTAATGGATGGATGGAGAAAACCATACAGGAAACAGCACAATTTTTTTCTACTTTCCAGAGCTCGTCATAATTTTTGTATAGATTTTTTGATGGAATTATCGAATTTTAGCATTCTCGCCTCAGACATAAATGCATCAAACACCAATAAATCTTCGGATTTAGAAACTTACAAAGATGGATTATGGTTTGGCAACAGTTTTACAAACCAAACAAGCATTCAGCGCTTCGGTTTAGCAACTTTCGAAAATTTCGGGTACATCTTGGGGTACCTTGGAAAAGTCGAATTATGATGATTTTATCACGGAAAACTTGATTAATCGGGAGCAAAAAACAACCGCTAGAAAGAGGAGAAAAAGCTGCATCGAATGACACCCGAGTCGCTTGCCGGTTGTTGTTCTGTGAGGTTTGACTTGACTAAATATGGAATTTGATGGCATTGAGAAATTGATTGTAGAAACTCTGAGAAGCAAGCTAAAGAGAAGAAAAAATTACTCTATGTTCTACAGTGTTTGCTCTATCTACCTGCCACTTGTACTTTTCCGGAGATTAGGTACAAAAATTTAAAAAAATAGCCGAACTTGACCCTGGCAAAAAGCATGAGTCGCAGATTTTGGTAATTTTTCGAGAGCTCATTGAACATTATGCAGTGAAATTGCAGCCACTAGAAAGAGGATGAAATGCTGCATCGAATGCTCCTAAAATCTTTTGAAAATGTTGATTCCACGAATAGTGGCGTTTATTCGAAAAAAGCGACATTACTTTCGGAACGACCTAATATCACATTAAAAATTTTACTGAGGTGCTGCTAGTGAGGGTGCCGTCGGTCACTGCGCGTAGAGTGTGGAATATATCAAGTTACAAATGGCTTGCGAGTACATCACTTAGGAACATTTTGGGCCGAGACGAAGCTGCAATTTAACGAGCGCCATCTGTCAGAGACGACGCACAAGATAGCTCATTCATAGCAGGATTATTTTCACAATAATATTATGCATGCTTGTTACAGTTAGTTAGTTTTGATAGTACTTGATACTCTGAGCATCATCAAGTGGTTTTTCAGAATGCTCGTTTATTCATTCAGACAACAATTTACACTTGTTTGGACTCAATCTCTAACACATAATCCATCTTGACAGATGCTGGTACCCCATTTTTTTTGACACTGCCTGCAAGTCGGACCCATAAAGTACCATCTCATTCCGTTCTTGAGCTTCCTAAAATGGATTTGGCGTATACTGTGGGCATCGACAAGTAAACAATTAAAAAGCTTGCTTTCTTAAGACTTTTCTAAAATACGCCTTAAATTAGACCACACTTCAATTTCATCTTTTATAGAACAAGCATCCCAAAATCTCTTAGAGTGTTTTCTGATAATTGACAGCATGCGAATACATCAAACCTTTGTTTCTACTATGTTTTCATAAAATCAATCTGCAGATCTGCAAAACTACCAAAGCAAAGTGTTTTGGTTGAATTGGTCTTTGTAAATAAAATCTTACACGGTTTTTAGAGATTCGAACGCTCACTACGAATCTGCTTTTACTATCTGCCGAACGTTACTGAATGGCGAGTCATGAGCGTTTTCGGGCTAAAAAAGTGAACACGCAAGCGAGACAAAGTGGATCAGAATTGCTTCAATGTTAAATATTCAAGAGTACTTCAGGCAATGAGTACCTTCTGCCCATGAACAAGGCTGCTTTGTTTGAGCGCTGAAGCAACCGTATCACTAATTTCGCCCAGATTTCGAACTTATAACTCGGCGTGCAGAGGCGCTCGGTAAATGATAAAAACAGATTTGAGAGCGTTTAAAACTCTCCATAAAAATGTAAATTTTATCCAACAAGGTCATTTCGACTAGAAGCATTCTTTTTATAACTGAAAAGATCGCATACTTGTTGCGCGCAACTTTTGAACTTACAGAATTTTCAAAAATTACTTGGTTAACTTATAACGGCACACGACCAGCGTTTTGTCGCCACAATCGCCTGTGCCGCAAGCAACATCGGTTGTGAGATCCGATCCCATCTGGAATTTCACCTCTAATAGTTTCTTCTCTGAGCTAACAATTTGTGTACTAAAAAATCAGCGCGCTTACACCCGCAATATTGCAAATTCCAGAATGACTGTAAAATAGATTTTGAATCTGATCGATGGATAACCATCGCCTTTGCAAGTCATCTGACCAAAATCTCACAGCCTGTAAATGAAAGCGATATTTTTCAAGAGAAAGATAAAATATGAACGGCTCACCTCTTCTAAAGCTTTGATTGGATTGCGACTTTTGCTGTAATATACGTTTACAGCAGGATCACAATAACCGGGTATATTCTTTCGCGGCTGGTGTTTACAATCAACGTCTGTCAACACTTCATGATCCATGCCGCAGCCGTAGTTCTAAACGTAGTGTTTCATTTTCTCGAACAAAAAAACCAGCTGCAAATTCTCAAAGCTTTCGCATTTGACTCACCAAACGTAACATACTGTTAGCTTTTCTCAACATCTTCCTGCTTTTCGGGTTAAAAAGGTTGCCAAGAGCCAGGTCACTCCTAAACATTATCGACTAGACCTAATTCAACCGTAGAAGTGCTACCTGAATTTGTTATGAAGGTCCACAGCCTTTTTTCTAAAGCGATCGGTCGTGTGAGAAACCACTCCAGGACACATATGACTCTCTACTTTTTCCATGTCTCTTTGTTTTCTCCAATCGGTCCTGTTATCCCGGATGTTTGTGCATGTTTTCACTACGAGAGAAACTTTGTCTCACTTGTCTTTTGCGCAACGCTTGGAACCATGACCATGTCCATGTTTGCAACTGGATGAAACGTGCACTTTAACGTGCACATGTTTGTCCCTGGACGAAGAGTGTTCATGTTTGCTTCTTGAACTCTGCCCATATTTGCTACTGATTGAGGTGTGAATATGTTTGCTCCTGTTTGTTGAAATTTTCGGAACGACTAGTCAGCAAAGCTGTGGACAATCTATCTCACCTTTGACTGATTCCACCAAGTTTAAGGGTGTGACTCAGACTTAATACTCCTTCTCTCTCTAAATCATGAATCAAGCCTAATCCACCTCCATCGCCTTCCACTGTTACATGTCTGTTCACCTTTATTCTAACTGAAAATTGTAGTTTTTTTCCTCAAACATTACATACGCAAGGTATGCTTTGTTCTCTAACTCAAATAAGGAAAAGCTATAGCGAATCCTACATCTGCATAGGGTTTCTGCGTTTTTTTTCTCGCTGCCTTGGTGAAGCCTTTGCAATACAGTCTGCACTGACATGGCTGCGACTAAAGCTTTTGATTATAATTATGTGTCAATATTTTAACTTCACATGGAAGCAAGTTAGTTGTTGTTTCGATCAGATATGAAAGGATTTGATTATATGAGTTTTCGCCTCTGCAAATCCACATATCGAAAAAATTGCCACTCCTATATTTTTACCACAGAATGGCGAAATCAAAGCCTTACCATCCGCACCACCACCAGAGCTGACTTCCTGGTAACTGTGCTCCGATGACCCACTTTTGACTTCGTAAGTACAATGGATAACTTTCGACCTCTTGCAACTATCGCACGGAATAGCTGCAAAAGTTTTTCTTTATCAATATTGCTACGGTCACAATGGAAGCGAAGCAGTGCTACAGAACAGTAAAGCAACGGCTATCCCGCTCGATTTTGAAGAGAAAAACGAAAAGAATTTTGCGCAAAAAAGTTTTTTTGCAGAACTTTGAAAGCTGGCGGTTTTGTATGGTGACGAACCAATTGCCAATGTGATGTGTTGCTATGTATTGTGTATAAGGATTTATAGCCACCCAATAATTGCAGTAACTTCTGAGTGAAAAATTATGCAAGAAGAAGCTAAATCACCCTCACTTGAAAGTGCCAAGCAACTTACGTATATAAAGCGTGATTACTGTGCAAAGCAGTAACGCCTGAAAATCCACAGTATTATGATATTAGGGCGGTCCGAAAGTTTGAGCCGCTTCTCAGATTCATGCTTAAACCACTTAATATAAAGATACACAAGGAGAGGGTTCGATACAGAATTCCTTGCTCTTTCTAATGGTTTGCTTTTTTTGCAGACTTTGCTATCCGCTCAAATGATTGTCAGAATCTCCAAGTCATGATTATTACCCACTTTGAGTTCGGTTATTTTTGAAACTTACACCTACAATTTACACCTTTGGACTAGTGTTGATAATAGTTAGACAGAATAAACAAAATGCAATACAAAGAACTATTTTGGCTTCTTCAACTAGCTCTTCATTAGCATTGTATTGCATTTTGTTTTTGACATAGCCAGTCCAAAAGTTGAGAATGGAAAATGCAGAAACAGCCAAATCCAGGTTGTGTGAAAATTACGGGTTGGAGATTCCGACAGTTATTTGAGCGAACATCAAAAAAGTCTGAACAAGAACATAAACATTGAAAAGAGAAGGAAATTATGCGTCTAATACTCCTCAAGGCGTTTATCTGTCGTTATTATGAGTGGTTTGAGTATGGGTCCAAAAAACCGCACGAACTTTTAGACCGACCTATCATTAATTCGCAGAAGCAGATCTGCTTGTCATTCACAAGACGTTTAAGGCTTTACGATAATAAGTCTCAATTGTACAAGCACAATGTGAATTTTTCCAGCTAGTCTCTTCGAAATTCTTCAGGAGTTTCCTCCTAGCCAACTACTTCAACAGAACATATATTTGCACTGCAGAATCATAGAGTGGGGCAATAGTTTATTATCTAACTGAGCAATACATGATCGGAGGACAAGCATGAAATTATACGTACTTGATCGTGCCTTTTACATAATGTCAATTATATGTTTACGGGGTTTTCTCTGTCGTAAAGACAAGCAGCTCTTGTTACCGCTAAATCGTTCTTAAAGATGTTTGCAAATGCTAGGTCTTCGTCTGAATAACGTAAACTTACACAAGTTATGAGCCGCATCTATTGAAAGCTGTTATGCTGAAAATATTGATTGGGTAAATGAATACAAAAAGTTGCGATAGCATGAGAATTGTATGCGAAAAGGTTTCTCCGAAAAAAAAACGTATCGCAGCCATGAGGTACAGGAGCATGGTAATTTTGAGGATGGAGAATGGAATGAATTTTTTATTGCGAAATTTTCAACTTAGACGTAGGTCCACCCTCCGTTTTGTGATTTTTATTATTGTACTATTATCATTTTACTTCATGTTTTGATTTGGCTGTAAACATAAAAATTTATTTTTATGGAACATTCATTTTGATGGCTAGCTGTATGGAATTGTGCAAGGATTCCTGCTTCTTCGAAAACAATGCATATTCAGCTGAGAAATTGTAAATTAGCGCTCAAAAACATACACGGGTGTTTGCGTGGATGCGCCATGCAAGTTGATCAAATTACACGACAATGTAACGCGTTGGCGGGTCTGTCACCATAATGTACTTTATTACTTTTTAGTCAGTGCACGTTTTCGCGAGTACACAGTGAAGGAAATCTTGCAAAAGTATAGCAGTTCATGATTCAAAAATCAAGTATATAGATGTCATTTCTACAGGATGTGTCAAAATAAATGGCGCATGTTTCTCCGATTGACAAAAGGGTACAAGACAAGTTTGATGGCGAATAAAGCACGCATCTGTTTTTACTAACCCTTGAAAACAGTGTCCAACCAAGTTTGAGCGCATGATTTTTTTTACGAGGAAATTGATGAGGGGGGGGGGTCCTAACTAAGGCACTGCCCAAGCGACGGCGCAAATGATCCATTCACGGCTGAGAAAATCCGTCCCCAAACCCTTCGCGCCTGTGCCGTGACCGTAACCCGACAGTGACTTAGCTCACATTGACACTAAGTTCGCGCTGGAACTCATACTAAGTCAACTACGACATGCGGTTACGGCGCAGGCGCGGAGTGATTGGGGATGGCTTTTTCAGCCGTGAGTGAGTGATTTACGTTGCCGTTTGTGCAGTTCCCCTTGCTAGGACCTCCTCATCAGTTTCCAGGCAAAAAAACTTGCCCCCATATCCGCCTGGATACTACCTTTAACACTGTAATGCGATAGTCGAATCAGGAGGTGGCTGTTTTATATTCCCAAAAATAACTCAAGTTCTCTAGTTAGCTGCAGTGTACTCTGTACGCAGGGGCAAATCCATAAAATTACACGATATCTTTTTGAGGACTTTTTATCTCGCTTAATTGCGTGATGAAGTAGGGCAGCCACTTGAACGACCCGTTTCCCAACAGGGTTGCTTTGAGCTTTTTTCGCAAGTTCGTAATACTCGGAATCTCCGAATGGTGCACGTTGCATTTTTTCATCATTCCCGATTTCTGTGCATCTTTGCTTATCTAGCAGGTTAGTTTGTAAAATCGAGAAGCATTATTTTATGTTGAGGTATGCAACTCATGAATGTGACGCAGTTCTTTATTATTTGCGATCGCATCTTCAAACCGTCTAGAGGTCTACCTGCGCTTGTCAATCGTCATTCGCATCACCAATGAGATGGTCCTTCCTCCCACATAATATGTGTAAGGTATGAACAAAGGTAATTTCTGAATGTGTTCTTTTCTTATCGCATGTTCCATATGCGTGGCTCAACAATCTGCAGTATCTCGCCATTTTCCACGTGCCCAGCAATGTCTCCTTAATAAGAATGATTTTGTAATGAAGCTGATATGATTTACGAGCTTCCCAGAAAGAGTTCTTTTCATCATATTTATCTCCCACTTGGTGCGCAGAAGCAATGACTCAAAGACGTCTTTTCTGTATCCGTTCATGCTTGACGGTTGCTTATGCTTTCAACGCCAAGCATAATTCTTTTACGCCGTAGGCTACTTAACGCAATTTCAGTCTGCGCAATTCGGAACGCAACGACTCTTCATAATTGGACGTGAAAGCGCTCTGCCTGACAACACGATGGGTTTGTGACAATCTACAAAACCAAGCGCACAGTAATTCTGTAAAAATCTGGCAAAATGCCAAGTCGCGGAGCTTCAACGATTTGATAGAATCGTGTAGGTATGTTTTGGGCCCAAGGATGTCTGAGACAGCTAAACCAACATTACTCACACAAAGATTTTGCAAGGCTGGATTGTTGCTACTGGTAAACTACCAGCTTAGCCGTCTCGTTCACCTTGGTTGCTCCGATAGAGTTCGCATGAGGCTATGCCCTACCAGGATTTGTTCGGAACAACTGTGATGGGCAAGAGCCGGCATCTGGAAAACAACCTTTAAAGACAACGTGCGAGCAAAAACTTACAATGGAGAAAACTCAATTTTTTTCTCGATGACCATTTCTAAGCGAATATTCGCGACAACTTTGATCTGGATTTTACATCCAATGTAAGTACATAATGGTAAACCTAGCATGATTCCTACGCTAGCTGAGCTAACGTGTGGCATTTTCTCCATATGATGTGGTTTCGCATTATTTTTGATTTATTTATAATAAGCGATGATAGAATTTTTGGAAACACGAAAAATACATTCTAGCCAATTTATACGATCTTGCGTGTCAATGCACACACTGGTCATCTTGGAGCTCCCATCCTGGATTCTTGATGCAGGCACCTCCAGGTAAATTTTTCTTGTTTTCTTTTTTTAGATAACAGTCTCCTCAAAGTGATGTAAGCGATAAAAATCTGCCTAGGTGCAAGTCTTGTATTGCAACTATAGTTTCAATTTTCAATACGTGCAATTCAGAACGGCTGCTGATTCGTACATGAACGAGCCATATGGCTCCTGCGATCTTCCCGATCCGCGATCCCCTGAATCCCCAACAGCTAGTTCAATACAGTTATGAGATCCACCAGTGTCCCGATGTTCATTTTCCATTTTGATTCATGAGCAATGGTCCACCAAGTACATAAAACACATGATGCTATCAATGTTTGCTCATCTGTTTTAGCAAAAAAAAGGTCTGTGCATTGGCCGCTGTTTAGCATTCACATATGCAAACAAAGATTGGCCGATTGAAGCGAAGTTTATTGGTGGTGAAAAAATGATGTATGGTGTTCAAAAACAGCGATTTATGATTTAGCGATGCATTATTTGATTGATGGCTACTGCGAATAAGAATGTATGAATACGTTTTTTGGTGGAAAAATTCAAATCAAACCTCAAAATAATTCTTTCCGTAAAAACAGCAAAGAACTATTTTTCCTTTATACATTTCTGGCAAAAATTTTGATAAAGAATGAAATGAAAATGATTTCCGAAAATGTGCGTACTATTGATCAATTTTTCAACTCAATTGATAATTGCACATTGTTCTGAAATTATAGCTGTACTATGTGGTTGATGGTTCCGACGAACAAACAGCAAAGTTTTAAACGAGCTCACGATTACATGGAGAAAGAACTTTAGAAGATGATTGACTGGTCTAGAAGCTTTATTCGTGTGAATGTTTTCTGTCGTTTCCTTATAATAAGGAAAGGACCCGAAGTCGCAATCGGCTTTCCACATGAATTATACATCAGTCAGAAGAACATCAAACGCTACCAAAACTGTCTTTGTTATCTGCCAAGCGTCTCTAGACGGCGTTTTTCGGCTTAAAAAATTACACATGCAATTGTTGCAAATTCGTTCGAGATTGCTCAAATGACCCAGCGTTGAACATAAAAGCACTCTATGCTTAAACCTTTCGTCGAACAAGATAAGGATACAAGATCGCAGCGGCGAACCGAGATGGTTTGCATACTATTATAAGCACCTTGATGAGCTGATTCTAAACCTAGCTTCTATATCTACTTAGCTCTTCTCTAGAAGAAGTGAGCGTATGATTGTTCAAGTTTGGCAAACATCTAGTACCATGACTTTGGGAACAACTTGTTCGAAAACACTCATTTATGTGTTCGGAATATGTGTGGTTTCTTTATAGTAATTGCACTCAAAACAATGAAAATTGATAGGGTCCAGGCCAGTTTTCATAGCACATTACGCATCAAAACCCCACTGACTTCACATGTTTAATCGCCCACACCTTATTTCAGAGAAGCTCTTAGGAGATAAGAAAGATAGATTTGGAAGGCTCATTAAAACGCATCTAATGATACGCATATAATTTCGATTCGCTACTATGAGTGGTATCCTTCCCTTGCTAGATACTCGCACTCAACACTTCTTTATTTGAGCGCTAGAAAGACCATAACCATCGATTTCACCTAGATTTTGCTGCCAAATTTCGATTAAAAAACACATATGACTCAGCGTCTAGAGGTGCTTGGTAAAAAAAACAAAGACCGTTTTGGAATCAGCGTTTGATGCCCTTCAAATTGGTATACATTACAATAGGAAAGTCAATTTCAACTTTGGGTCCTCCCCTAACTGTATCTCATAGTCAGCTGAGTCCCAATGAAAAGTATAGCTGAAGATCTGAAAAAGAAACACTAGTGTATGCTTTCGCACACAAGAAAATGCTAGATGCCAGGAAGCAGGAAAACGAAAAAATGAAAGTGGAATAAATACTAAGAGAAAACCTCGTTTGCCAAAGAGATGTCATTTTAAGTGCTAAGGTATACGGTAGTTCATTTCACGGTTTTATCTGCATATTCGTTCATTTAGTCTTAATGAATCCTTAAGGCTGGCATAGACCACTGATACGATCCCACCTGTTCTTAGGTGACTAAGTACCTTTGACCATTCAAGTTTTATGCGCCCTCTTCATCCAAATCGGGGCCTTTACTACCTTTTCCTCGGAAGGTGTAAAGTTAACACGTTGACGTCAACGTGTGTTTTTAGTTGTCTGTCCCTTGAGATTAAGCCTTCCACAGATAAGTCGATAATTTTTTTGACTAAAATCATTCAGATTGTCAACTACAGTATACTTACAGCAGTTCTATGGAGCAGGCGAGAAACTCAAGAGCAATTTCTAGGGTACAGCGTACGAGAACTTATAAAACAAATCTATTTTAAAATAGCAATCTTCAACAAAATTCAAGTCATGACGTCCTGGAACAACGTGGGTC